AACCAGCTCAGAGCTGCCGGCCCCACTTGCTGTTGCCTCCCTGCCCCTCGGACAGCGCCTGGCGCGGAGTTAGCGGTGACGCATCAAATGAATGAGCAAATGCATGAGTGAGTGAGTGAGTGAGTGAGTGAGTGAGTGAGTGAGTGAGTGAATAGATGAAGGAGGGAATGCATAACAGAATGAAGTGGATAATCCATTCTCATTTTTCTATCTTTCCTGAGGTATGAAGTTGTTTTTATGTGTGTATACTAGCAGCTAGTAAGTGCTTACTTGTATTTTAGTCCTAACCATTGGAACTTCAGTAAGTTTTTAAACGAATGCACACATTTAAACTCACACATACAAGGACCTGAGACCATACGTACAGGTCAAGGGCAAACAACCTTGCCAGGTGCAGTAGATGGCAATGGCCACTAGAGGGAGACACAGAACCTCTCAGAGAGCAGCCTTAGGTACCAGACGCCACTCAGTTTGGAGGGCCTGCTCTGGGTCCTTGCCAGCACGTCCCCCATCCCCAACATGGCTGATTTGGCTGCGCTAAGTAACGCCAGACACCAGAACAAGCTGGAGCAAGGTTAGAGGACACAGCCCACCGCCAGCTCAGACATTTCACTCCTCTTTAGAGAAACGCTCTCTGGCTTTCAACATTCAATGCACATAGAAGAAAAACACAGTTCCCTGCAGATGACAATCAAATTTATCAAAAACCCACCTGGAAAGAAAGTACAACTACAAACTGAAGGGTAAGAAACTCAAAAACTTGCAAAGCCGTGCGCCACTGGTTCCAGCCCCGGCAACTCCCCTGTGGCAGGGCCCGGATGGCCCAGGGCGCCCCCTCCAGCAGAGAACCCAGAGGCACACAGAGCTCATTCACTGCAGGCCTCGGAGATGCAGCACCGACCCCGCCAGCCGGGTTTCAAAGGCTTCCTATGTGGCCGAGTGGGGCGAGAAAACATGTCCAACAAGCCTGGTAAATATTTCCAGGGCCATTATAAGCCGCAGATGCTGCCAGAGGCAGAATCGTGCGAACTTTAAAAGACTTAATCCACAAATGACGCTGCTTGGAAAATACATTTTACAGTGTTTGACAGGAATACCAGCTTCCCTTTGGAATGTGGAACGTCCATGCCTTCCGTCAGTGATCAAAAGCCACCAGCCCCGCTGGCTTCCCTGCTCATTTCCACGGCCCGTGAGACTGCAGAAAACCTGCAGGGGACACTCAGAAGTAAAAGGACCGGCGACAGGGCCAGGAAAGCAGAACAGCTCAAGGAAGCAACCGCAAGAATAACTGACTGATCAGAAATGAAAACCGAACTGCGAGGCCCAGGGAGACTTCCTGGGAAGAGGAGACTCCGGAATCTGCCCCTGTCGGGGGTCCTGTGGGAACATCGAAGGGCCTATCCTGCGGATTTCCGGGGAGAGAGGTGCAGACTGGAGACGGCTAACCTGTGTGTGTGTCTGCAGCCCACACTCGCCAACCTGAGGAGAACCTGGGGCGTCCACATGGACTGACAGAACTGGTGCTGGACACAGCTGCTTGGCTGGGTCCGCCCTGAGGGGGTTAAACCTGGCCACCGGCCCCAGGGAGGCAGAGGTTGGGGGGGAGGGACTGGAAACTAGCCTTGATGTACACAGGGGGTGAAAGGGCAGATGTTTTTTTTAATTACAGAGTTTTTCATAACCTAATTGTACCCTAATTAGAATGATGGCCCTTCTTCTTTCAAAGGACTCACGCATGCTTCTGGAACATTCTCCATCAAAGTCCCCTCACTGGCTGATTGGAAGGGAGCTGGTGGGTCTCGGGGTGAGCTGAGTGACAGCGCTGGCGTCTGACTTCAGCGTGGCCTCCTCTGAGCAGACAGCACCCTCCGCTCAAAGTAACCACCGCCCCCGCCCCACCCCATGCCCTGCAATTCTCGAGAAAAAGCCAGCTCCCCAATTCTGCGGGAACATCCTCCACTTCGGCGCATGGAGTTTCCATGCCACCCCCACATCCCAATAGACAGGCCATCAGGGTTTTCCGTTCTGGTCAGGGAGCTGCGGCCCCCAAGGGGCCAGGTGCCCACAGGGCTGCAGGCCCTCTGTGAAACCCTGCACACCCCCAGGGCCGGTCAGCGCAGCGCAGGGGCCCCTGCACGGCCCACCTCCCTGCGTTTCTCACTCCCTGTGCTACAGGGCAAGGCACATAAGGGCCTCATGAGGACCGAGGGCACAGCCCCGCGGGGGCCTCCTTCCCTGCTGCTTGGCCATCCCACTGGCAGCTGTAGGCATCTGAAGAGCCGTGAAGCCTTCCAGCTGGAAGGCACCGTGGTAGAAATAGGAATGGCCGTTGTTATCATCATCACACTCCAAGGTCCTCTTCCCTGTCTCTGACAAAGGTAAATCAGGTGGGGACAGCACCGGACATGGACAGGGGCTCAGACGCCAGAGAGGAAGGCCGGCACCTGCCCCAGCCAGTGGACTTAAACTACTTCGTGGCAAGTGCAGGCAGGTGGCCAAAGGGCCTGCCCCTCCCCGCCCCCAGCCCTCCCCTTCAGGGCCGAGCGGGCAGCATCCCTTCCGCAGCGGGAAGACAGAAAGAGCACCGTGGAGGAGTGACCTGGACATCCAGAGGTAACTGCTCTGCTGCCCTGCGCCGCCCTCTGGCTGCTGGAGGGTCTTCCCTCCCCTGCCTGCTGTGGGACGCGTCACACCAATGCCCCCATCCAAACCCCACACCCAGGACAGCGCTTGTCTGTAACAGGGCTGCCCCAGGGGATAAGGACGTCCCCGTATCCATCCTGTGCTGCCCATGAACAGGGCCAGGTGCTCACCTGCAGAGCCTGGGACGTGACCCTTTATTTTCCCAGGGGACAGGGGCGCAGGAGGACAGGTCTTTCCAAAGGACGTTTGTAACTGACGTGGCGGGGCACTCACCTCCTTCCCTGTGACAATCCCGTGCTGCTTGTCAGCAGGGCACCCGCAGGGGGTTCAGACGGAGACGTGTTCAGGAGGGGAGATGGAGGGGGTAAGACGCCCCCAGCCAGGTGTCGCTGCTCCCACACCCACAGCAAGCCTACCACCCCTGCAGGGGCCCGACTCCGTCCGCAGGCGTCAGTCTGTGCCTCGGTGACCAGCAGAAATGGCGAGACCAAAGAGCACGCTCCCGGACGCCAACTCACCGTCTGGAAGTCGCGGCTGTCGAAGCTGAACCTGCAGCCAGATGCTGTGCCGCTGGCCCCAGGCCCCCGGCGGCTCCACCTCCCACAGGCGCCCCCGCTCCTCCGGGTGGGCCGACAGGAACTTCCTGCAGACTGTGGAGAGGAGCCCCCCGTGAGCCTGGCGGCCCCACACCCCGCACACAGGCCAGCCCGCCAGGGCCTCTGCTCCGACCCACGACCCTCCCTGTCCTCTCCTCCCCACCCCACGTTCCTCCTCTGCTCGGGCGGCCGTAACTCAACACCACGGGCAGGTGGCTGAAACAAGAGGCACTGACTGGCTCCGGTTCTGCAGCGTGGAAGTCCAAGGTCAAGGTGTAGGCAGGTGTGCCTCTCCCCTTGGTCCGCAGACAGCCACCTCGCAGGTGCCACCTCGCAGGTGCCCTCCCCCAGCCTCCCCGCTGAACCCATCTGTGTCCCTTAGAAGGCCCTCTTGTCACCACCCCATTGGACGGGGTCTGCACGCACAGCCTCACTCACCTTAAGGACCCTCCGAGGGCCCCGTCTCCACGCACGCGCACACTGGGGTCAGGGCCGCACCGTAAGACTGGAGGGGCCCCCAGTTCACCCCACAGCATTGCCCCACCTCGGGCCCCACCCTCCCACACCCAGGGCCTCCCAGCTCATCCTCTGCAGGCACCATCCTTGAGTCCCCGTGGACTCGGGGTGAGCACCTCCGTGAGGCACTGCCCCACAGGCAGCCGAGCGGAAGTGCTGCCAGCCCCACAGGCGTCCACGGGGGCCCCGTCAAGCCCTCTATGGGCACGTCAACCTGGGGCACAGAGCAGAGGGGGACCTGCAGGGCTCGGCACTCGGGGTTCCCCAGGGGCCAGCTGAGCTAGCAGAGCGCTGCATGGGGCCTTTCAGTCTCTGTGTGGACAAATGGAACTTCACAAGCACAGGGAGGGCCGGCTTCTAATTTAGAATTTCTTGGACAACTTGCAGTTTTGTTCCACAGTGCGCAACACCCAGAGCGCTGGTCCCCAGCTGGCAGCCCCTGACACTGCAAGGAGCCTGTGCACACCCACCCACAGGGCCCCACACTCCACCCACATCCCCCCGCAGCTGCTCCAGGGTCCAAGGACGTGCGAGCTGCTGGCGTGGTCGGCTGCCAGGTGCACAGACCCTGGGGTGGAGCCACTCAGGCCCTGGGCACCGCTGGCAGGAACGCCGGCAGCCCGGTGCTAGGGGCTGGTTCAGCAGGAGGGGCCTGCACCCAGGTGGGAGCCCCGCTCGGAGCTCCCAGATCCCAGACATGGAGAGAGGTGCAGCTGCCCGCCAGAAGTCCCTAACGCATGGGGCCCTGGGCAGACGGTCCTCTCGCTCGGCCGGAAGGCGGGCCCTTTGCTGCCAGGCCGCTCACTCGAGTACATGACACTGCCTTCCCCCAGAAAGTGGTGAACTGCGAGCTTCAAGTACAAGGGCAGAGGCAGTGGGGGCCCAGCAGCAGCCGTCTGGGCGCTGCATCTCCCTCATGTTGAGGAGCTTTGGTTTCTAGCACATCTAAATGTAATTACGTCTCAGGCTGGGGAAGGCTCGGCCCTTGCCATCAGAGCACCGAGCCCCGTTTGTGCTGACACATGAGGAGTCTTCTCCGGAGGAAGCGCGCGTTCCAAAGGCCTGCCCCCGCCCAGAGTCGCCTGGATGCACAGGCGGGCCCATCGCTGCTGCCCAGGTGCTTCTGCCCGACGCAGGTGGGCTTACCTTGGTACATGGCCGGGGAGATGGGCCAACTGACGCCCAGGGCACTGTCCTCGCGGAAGGTCTGGCAGAAGTCCCGCAGCATGGCCATGCCCAGGCCTTGGCGACGGTGTCCCCTCCTGACAAACACGGTGTCGAAGACAGGCAGCAGGTAGCACGCACCTGTGCCATTGCCGCACAGGCTGCCTGCAGGGAACACAAGCGACAGAGACTGCCGTGCGGGCTGGTACCCACCTGCCAGGTCACCGGCACCAGCTGGAATCGGGCTGCCTGCCCACACTGAGTGGTCAGACAGCACAGCAGAGAGCTCCACACTGCCAGCTTCCCCCGGGTCACGACGGCCGGCCCACGGCGGTAACTGCCACAAATGTGGCCACCAGACCACGACGGCAACCAGAAAGCGTGCTGGGGACGCCGAGGCACGGCACGGCGCTGACCCCCCACCCCACCCCCGGCTCACCGCCCAGCAGCAGGAAGGGGTGAGGAGCTGGTCCTTGCTGCCATTCATGCAAGCCTCAGAAATCCCACGCTGTGTGAAAGAAGCCAGATGTGGAAAAACACCACTTCCTGTGTCACTGCACTGACCCAAAAGGCCCAGGAAGGGTGAACGGACCGGACGGCGGATGGCTGCGTGCACACCTGGGGCCAGGTGGGAGCAGACGCTGACGGCAAACGGGCAGCCCCTCGGGTGCAGGAGACTCCCCAAATCTGTATTCGGGTGATGATCACACCCAACTCTCTAAACTGGCTAAAAGCCACTGAATTGTACAGTTTGGTGGGACATAACATTACATTTCGATACAGTGACTTTAAAGGATACAATAAGTTGTACTAAAACGCTGCTTGGAAGATGTAATTCAGTGTGGGAAAGGACATACCGCACATTTCCAGAGGGGGAGCCCCGCAGGCCCGCTCCAGAAGCCAGGGGAGCATCTCCAATAGTCATGCGGGTGCCTTGTCCCCCCGTGTGAGGAGACCCTGTGAGGAGGAGGGTGCCTCACCCCCCTCCAAACACACACGCCCAGTTAATCATAGAAAACAACCTCACAAACCTCAGCTAAGGGACACCCTCTACACACCCTGACGGGTGCACCCCCAAGGTGTCCAGATCAGCTCGCTGGCAGAGAACTGAAGTCCAGTGGGTTTGAAGGGGGAGGGTCCCAAGATGACCCCAGCAGAAGCCAGGAGACTACAGAGTGGTAAAAGAACAAATCGGACTCAGTCCCCATTTAAATCTTCTCTTCCCACACAGCGTCGTACCAAAAGGAAAATGTTTACAAAATACACAGTGATGAAGAGATGCTATCTATAGCATGTAAAGAATGGTCAAAGCGAAATAAGAAAACAAGCGACCCAATAAAAAATGAAGAAAACATCTGAACAGACGCTTCAGCAAAGGAGACGCGTGACCAGGCAGAGCGCTGGGATGACCACGCACGAGGCATCTGGACGCCTGGTCGCTGCGCTGTACACCTGACACTCACGCCGTGCGCCGATGGTAGTTGAAAACAAACCTAAAAAACTTCAAAACTGTGAAAGCAAGCAACTGCAAGGAGACTCTGAAGAAGAGACCGACCCCTCAGTCAGACGGGTCCTTGCTCCACAGTCACTTCTTGTCCCCACCCAGAAACACCATCACCCCCGCCTGCTGCCCGCCCCCAGCTGGTAAGGTCCGTGAACCGCGGCACCCAGCCTGCCTTTGCACCTCGGCTCAGCTGTCCGCAATCCTATCCGTCCTGGGGGCCAGCAGGTAACATTAAAGAACAGAAATGAGAAGCGTGGTACCCACAGAGTCCTTCTACACCGTTGACGGTGGCAAGGTTTCTACGGAGAACTTGCAATGGCCTGAGAATCAAAGGGGCGTGAGTGCAGCCTGTCTGCAGGTGCAGCGAGAAGACCTCGGGCCGATTTCCACGGCAGCTGCGTCGGCGATGACCGCTGGGCTCGGAGGCCCTCTCTGCACCGCACCTGGGCAGCCACCTCTCCGCCGCGGGTGCCCGCCGCCCCTCACCTTTCGCCTTGGTTGTGTAAAATCCGACGGCCGCGCCGTCCCTCCACAGGACTTTAGCCTCCTCCCTCCCAGAGTGAGGTAAAAAAAACATGTCGTCATCGTCCAGTCTTCTCTCCAGTCTTCCAAAAATGACAACGTTGAGGATGAAAAGCACCACCCTTTTCCCAAACGACTGAACCTTTGAGGGGAAAAACAAAAAAGAACCGGGTAAGATGAGAGAGAAAAAATCAGATTTTTAGAGACTTTTTTGGAACTTGGCACCGACCCACACGTCGGAGACAGGTGAGCACTCCAGGTCGCCCCAGTGCCAGGGCCAAGATGGGCATCTGCCTCTCCCTGGTACAAAGATCCATGCTGGGTTTTATGTTTAATACACGGCCCTTAAATCTGTATCATCACCATCACCATCATCGTCGTCACTCTGGCCGTGGCTTCTCCGCCTGGATTGGCTGGGAGACCTTTGGCAACTTAGAATCTCCTCTAGCCTCAGTTTCCTCAGCTGGTCAAGGGGCAAACCCCACCCCCCGCCCCACGTGATGACTGAAACTTTTGGGTGCTTTTCAACGGCTCTGATGAGGAAAAGAAGGCAGCTTGCGGCATCCTAGCAAATGGCAGAGTGCTCAGCGCCAGTCAACTTGTTAATTGGCCCAGAATGTAAAATATTTCACCTTCATCTGGAGCCAAGTCTGAGAGGAGCGGGAGATTGGTGCAAACCGCACCGGCTGACTGGGGGAAGCCGCCCCGATGCTGTATCGCAGACAGCGGCTGCCGTTCCAGCCCAGACTGGTGGGGAAGGAGCCGGTCACAAAACGTGATCGGTATGATGTGGGAGGCTGGAACTGTCAACTAATAAAAGCAAAAGTTGAGGGGCGAGGCAGGAAGAGAAAAGCAGACTGCATCTGGCAAGAGGGAAGGGTTCCATCAGAAACTGGCAGGAGGAAAGCAGATGAAGAAAATACATCTCAGCTGCCTGCTTCATCCCGGGAGGACAGAGGGTGAAGGGGGGGGATTAGCATGTGACAGGGGCTGAGGCCGCTTGGACGTGCCTCTGAAAACACACAACTAAGACCCAGTTCTAATCCCTCAATTAGGACCGCTAATTACATTAACAGAAAGAACATAAACACAGCCCATGTTGGGGGTAGGTGGTGAAGGAAGAGCTGGCTAAGAAACACAATGGAATTGAAAGAAAAGACGTCAGTCCGTAAGTTCTGGAAAAGGACCGGGGAGCTGGCCCCACGACAGGGAGCAGGGCAGACCTCCACAACGTGACACTGTCTGTGGAAGGAAAGAATAACCCAAGTGTCTCTGTGCACGCAATTTGGGCCACGTTCTCAGAAACTGGGGCGGTTTCCTCATCTAAATTCCTTCGATAGCAGAGCAGACCCTTCCTAGCAGTCAGAACAGCAGCCCCTAAGTACCACCCAGCCCCACTACAAAAAAAAAAAAGTCTGGGGCAGCCCCTAACTGGTCCATGGGGCAGCCGAGCCCAGACATGGCTGCGCTGGCCGGCCCCCAGGCAACCGTGGACTTGCTGGACTCTCCCTCCCTCACTCAGAAGGAGCCAACTGTGCCCACACTCTGAGCTCAGACTCCCAGCCTGCAGGACCGAGGGACAGCCCAGTTCTGCTGCGTAAGCCCCCAGTTCGCGGGGTTTTGTGACGCAGGCCTGGCAACGAATCCCCAGGGGCAGCCTGATTTAAATTATTAACCTGGTCACGGTGCAATGACTCTGAAACCCCCCTTTGCAAAGTCCATCCCAAGTGAGGCTGCCTCACCTTCACCAGCCCTTCTCTGGCAGGGTCCGAGGTCCTCAGTGCGTCTTCGGTGGCCCACCAGGACCCCTTCAGGTAGAGCGCCACCACTGAGGAGGAAGTCGAGAGGAGAAGATGACTTGTACACAGCCCGCGGTCCCCAGAGGCATAGTTTCGGCAGCCATTGCCAACGCGCAAAGGACACATCACACGTGGGGAGAGCAGGCGCTGTCTCTAGAGCTGAAGGGTGGGGAGAGCACCCACCGGGGCACAGAGTGACCACCCTCACAGGGGGGAGACCTTGCAGACGTCCTCACAGCTGGCCGCTGTTGGCCCCAGAACGGGATGCGTCCCGATGCTGCGGGGCCAGCAAGAGGCATGTCACACTGACAAGTTCCAGGGCAGGGGCTTCCTTGTCCTTTCCGGCCCTGGTGTGTGTCCCCGGCGAAGCCTTTCTCACTTTAGTAAACCCAGCACCATCCAAGGGCCTCTGTGAGCCGTCCGAGAGCGCCCCCCACTGGAGCAGTAACTCCTTACAACAGATGGAGCTACACAGGCCCCCCAGGGTTCCCGAGTCTACAGCTGACATTTGTGTTCACTCTCCCGGCCACACTTGTGGGGGGGGGGGGGGAGTCTGCGCTAACAAATGACGGCACGTACCCGCCGTGACAGGGCCACGTGGAGGGTCTTCCCTGCCCTAAGAGTCCCCTCTGCTCCTGCTACGCACCCCTCGCCCACACCCCCTGGTCTCCACATTCTCAGCCGGTTCACCTCTCCCGCCACGCCCTGTAGTTGGAGCCGGCCCTGCCGGCCCTTCCTGGAACCTGCGCCCGCACCCGTTGTACGGGGGCAGGTGAAAAACTCCGCTCCCTGCGCCCCAACAGCGGTCCACCCTCCACCGAAACCGCCCGCCACGGGGCAAGTCCCAACCCGGAGATGATTCCCCTTGGCTCCCAGGGTTATCAGGAGTTCCTCTGCTAGATTCCACCAGCTTATCGATAATTAACTCCTACAAAGGGCTTATCGAACAGCCGTGATCCTTTTCGCTGCCTTCTAACCACACGCACACACGCGGCCCTCACAAGCTTACCTGCTCCGGGAAATTTACGGAGGAACCAGCCACTGCGATGCCCGTGGTCCCGGCTGAGACCACACACAAAGCCGCCAGGGGGAGCTACGCGATTAGAAGTCACATGCTTCCAGCCACAAGAGGGACATTTACACATCTTGACCACTTTCCAATGCCAGGGTCAAGGGCACAAGGCGTGAGTAACACCTGAGGCGCTTTCTGGAAACCTCGCCAAATGCCAGCTACACAACACAGCGCCCCCAGCAGCTTGGAAAACTTTTGGACACTTTATTTAAAGTGTTGTTACGTAAGGGAAGGGCCAGAGTGAGACTTCCTGGGGCTTATGAATATTTACTATACCGCATTCTTGAAAACAACCGAGAAATGAAGTGCCGACTTAATAGGAAACAGATTTACAAGAGTCAGTCATATGCTTAGATTATGCAAACCAGCTAAAGGCCTAGAACCAGAATGTTATGAAATGCTGAGAGAAGACAGGGTGAGTGCTGCTGATACGTGACACGTGTCCCAGGGGACATTTCTGGGGTTTCTGACCAGGCGTTCACTGGGGAGTCCCTGGGGGCACACCTTGTTTCCAACCCGTTGTGGGTCCCCACCCTGGGGGTGGAGTCCCAAAGTCAAGGCAGCGCTGAAGGCCTGGGGCTACCACAGACCCTCCGCTCCTGGAGACCACGGCCTGGAAGTGGAATCCTGCACCTTGACCGGCCACCTCCAGCCTTGGGGCCAGCATGCCCGCCACTCCCAGACCAGACGGCCAGCAAGGCGCTCTCCAGGCTGGGCATCGGCAACAAGGGAGTAGCCCGCCCATCGGGAAGGCCGCCCGGGGCGTTTGTGGAGTGGAAGCCCACACTGAATTGCAGGGTGGACGGCAGGCAAAGTGTGGGCACCGGGCGGGGGTGGGGGAAACCTGAAGGAGGTCCCCTTTGCAAATTGTGGTAGGAGACTTAACCCCCACACTTTGACCAGATGTATCCTTTAAAGGGGGCTAACTAATTAAGGGTTGGTCTGGGCTTTGTTTTTTTCTTTTTAACTTCTTATTAAAAAGGGCATAGGTGATCACTGTGGGAAATCTGTAACATACAGAAAGCTGTAACCAAGGTGAACTTCTCTAAATGGGATAGAATTTAAACTGGGACTCCCTCGGGGTCAGAGACCCATGCCTGGGGCCCCGGGTATGCTGGGCTCAAGGTGGACAGGTGGACAAGAACCCTCCCTTCTCCCCACCTCCGCAGACTGGTGGAGCTGAAAGCCATCACAAGTGGTCTCATCACCACTCCGAGGAAGGACAGGTGAGTCACCGCCAGAAACAAACCCCATCCAACCGTCACCGGGCACAGACCCTCTACCCCGCACGGCTACGTGGTCCTGGGCCAGTCACTTGACCAGCGGAGGCCTTCTCCTCTTCTCTGTCCTGGGGCAGGGTGGGGGAGGGTTGGTAAAAGTGGTCCCTGTGCCTCCCAGGGCTGTGGGGGTGACACTCCAAGCAAGTGTCACCCTGTGCGGGCAGCCCATACATGGGGCTAATGACGATGGCAAACGTCATCCTCAAACACAGGCCTGAACCCGTCTCTGCGGGCCAGAGGCCGTCCACTGCCTTTACTACAGACGGAGCCCACGTGTGCCACTGAACAGAAACAATGTCTCACTGTAGCGCTAAAAGCTGAAAATAGGTCCCCCCTGCCCTATGTTGTCGTAAGTCCTGCCTCAGCGCACAGCTGCCATCTCCTGGGTGTTTGCTTCCATGAGTCGTAAACACTAAATCTGCAGCGCGTTTTTTAAATCCATCCTCATCTACCCACCTGTCTTTGTGTCCCGGGGACTGACCAAGACCAAGATTTTGTGCTGAGGTTCGTCACGATGCACCGTGCAGAAGCAAACGGAGGGCGCCTCAAGTCTCACCTGGAAAAGACAACAAGATCGCCGTTTTGGTTCCGCAGCACAGGAAGGGCGTGGGGAAATCTCTTTGAGATTAGCCATCGCTGAAAGGTCACTGTCACACAGAGGGGGGTGTGGCCAGTACAGGCGACCTGAAATGGAAAACTTACCCGCTCTGAGGCTCTCGGCCGTCACCTGCCCGGCCCGCCTGCTCCTTCTCTCGTTCACCCGCCATCCAGTCAGGTGCAATTCCACACCCACTCAGGCTCTCCCTTCCTCACACTTCCTTGGGCCTCAGTCTATGGCAGCAGAGGGCCACGCCTGCCACACCAGCCTCCACAGTCACCCCGGGGCCACTGCATGGACAGGCCTGCATGTCCAGCACTATGCCTCTTGGCCTGCCTGCTGCCCTGCACAGAGAGCCTCAGCTCCTGGTTACGAGTGACAGGAGCCACAAGCAGCGTGCTTCTCTCAAGTGCCCACATGCCAAGCCCTCTCTTGGACCATCAAACCCACGGCTTCCGGCTCTGGGGGCAAAGGGTCAGCACATTCCAGGGCAGAGGCTGATTTGAAAACCAGGGAGGGGACAGGAGAACGAGAAAAGAATGTGTGGGCTGAGTGAGGAAGGCAGGTTGCTGGTAAGTCTACGGCAGGCCCCGCAGTTGCGGGGAACTGTCCCTTCCCACACGAGCTGAGGCCTGTGAGCATCTCCTGCCCCCTGGTCTTCAAGTCGCCTCTGGGAAGCGTCCTCGGCCGGCCCTCCTGCAGCCGCCGTTAGGTGAGGCCAGCTCACCCAGCAGATGGTGGTCACAGGCCGTCACAAACCACAGGGACAAAGCGCCGTGCCGACAGGAAGCAGGCGTAGTGCAGATAGCCTGTGTTCAGACTGCGCTCTGGGTGTCCAGAAGGCTCACACAGACGCAGAGACCAAAGGGAGACACGTCGGAGTGTGGGCAGCGCCCGGCTGCGGGTGATTCCATTTTCTCTGGCCTCGGCCATCGTTCCCAAATCGTGTACAATGAGCGTACGCCTACGTGACCAGAAAAATCAGGGAGTAGGACTGCATTTTAAATGGGACAGGACCGCTGCAAGACTGAAGACAGAGTAAACAATAAAAAGAAAAGACTTTTAGGAAGACCCGAGTGATGTGCTATGATACAGCCGTTCTGTTTGGAAAAATCTCTCTGGACTCACAAAGAAAAGCTACATCTGCTCAAAGCAAAAAGGAGGTCCCACAGCGTCCCAATTTGGACCCTTTCAGCCTGGGAAGGGGCAGGAAATCGCTACCACTTCTTAACTAACTGAGGCTGCCCCGGGCCTGCCAGGAAACCAAATAATTATCTTTATAAACCATTCTTTAGAAGGAGAGAAGAGGCATACCGTCATTCCAGCATTTCTAGCACATTAAAACCACTTAATTTTGGTAACTGTTTTGTGTTATTATGTTTTTGCTAATAAAGCCGAAATTATTCACACACTGAGCATACACTATTTTAGGTTTTTTAAAAAAGTAATGCAATCCATAAAGAAGTGTGAAATAAAAGGTGATCGAAACCTCACCCGTAAGTCCTGCAGGGCACTCGTCACAACAAGTCTCAGGTCACAGGTCTGAGTCTCAGGTCTGGACCACACGCTTGCTTTCCTTTCTGCCTCAGCCACCACTAGAGGGCGCTAAGAGCGTGTATGGACAGTGGACTCCTCTGCAGAGGAACCTGATCAAACACCCACGGGAGAGGGACTCTTCCAGTTGATTGCAAATCTCAAGGAAGCCACACCTCATACACTGCACAGACCTTTGTGTCAATTCACTCTGGAACAACTCCAGCACAACAAAACGAAACCCTCTCCTCCCCAACCAACTTCGCCACCCAAAAAGCAGCCATTTCTGGGCTGAGTAAAAATCTCACGTGTACAAAAGCAGAAAACCTTGCCTCCTTCAACAAACCAGCCTCGAATCTGAAAGAAAGGTACCTGGCTCAAGTGTAGCCCCAAATTCACACATTCTTTTTACTCACTGCGGTGGGGAAAAAAGATCTTAGAAGTAACACAATGTCTAAGTTTGACCCCCCCCTCCCCCCGCCGTGCTGGTAAACGATTCCCATTCCTCTCCATTCCCTCCTGGTCCAAGTTCAAATGCAGTCTTATCAGTGCTAAACGGGGTGATGGCTGCCACTCATCCCGACTAATGTAAATCATCCCAATTGCAAAATTTTAGAAGTGGGCCAAGCCTTAGAGACCAATGCCTCATTTCACAAATGAGGAAACTGAGGCCTAGCCAGGCCTTATATACAGTATCTCAATTGACTCTCATAACCACAGGACAAGGCCAGCTTCATCACTGCCCCAGTTTTAGAGATGAGAACTCCAAAACCAGAGAGGTCGAGACACTTGCTCAAGATCACACAGCCAGGTTGGGGTAGATGTGGGTTTCACACCAGGCTGCGGGGCTCACTGCCTGGCAGAACAGGGTTCCTCTGCCACACTTTAGAGGCCTAGTTCAGGATTCCTTCTCAAGTAGAATTAGTACAGTATTATTCATGGCAGAAGGTGTCTCCTTTGAGGCTGTACTAATCTTTCATTAGCATCTCACTTTCGAACAAGTCAGATTTTTCCGAGCTCTCCAGCAATGAGGAAGAGCAGACGTACCTGCTCCCCAGTGGGAAGGGAGAAGACCTCTGCCTCGAGCTGAGTTCCTGCCCTTAGCTCGGCGTAGTACGCCAGGGCGGCTTCCCGGTACCCACTGGGGTCGTCTTCCAAAACGTCCACTGGGTAGCCGCCTGCGAGGGGAAAGAGAAGACAAGATGTGCGATCGGTCTGATTCTCTCATTAAAGGGGAAGTCACTTATCTCTTGAAGATGTTTTTAAAACATCCAAAAGGATACCTGCTTTAAAAATGATGTTCACCTATTTTTTTTTTTTAATGAAAAGGAGAAAAACAGTACAGCAGCAGGCAGCAAGGGAAAATAAGAGTTTCCCAATGGCAGGATTGGCACCGGCCCGAAGGAGGTGGGGGGCTGCCCTGGGACCCTCTCAGTCGGCTGCGGAAGCCTCCTTTCCACACCCAGACCACCAGGTGGCTTCCCACAGGGTCAGCAGCAGCGGCCACCTGCCCCAAGACGAGCCGGTTAGAGCCTTGGTGACTCTGGCAAGACCGAGCCTGAGCTGGGATGTACCCGCCTGCATTTGCGCGTAGGCGGCTAAGATCCGCCACTTCTCTGACAGGCCTGCTTTTCGTAAGAGCGTTTCCGTGTCCAAGTTAGTGTGACTTGCGACACTACGCAGGTAAACTTACAGCATCTCTTCCTGATCGCCATGCTTTTGAGGGAAAATCAGATCCTGACGTAATCGCGTAAATGGACAGCACCTGACTCGGCTGGGCAGTGGCAGCTGGTTTTCCCCGAGATGCCTCTGGTGGGCACACTCCCCAGTGTGGGGGGGTCTGTCGCCCCCTCCCCTTTGTGGACTCTGCATAGGATTCAACTCTGGGCGTCCCCTGGGTGGAGGAGGCAGCGTCTCCCTCCTTCCTCCTCCCAGGCCCCCCCTCTCCACCTCGTCCTCTCTCCACACATACACTTTCAAGGAATCCCCGACTCGCCATCACTGCCATGAGCCAGCCGCAGGACACGACCACCCACAGGCCAGACCCCACGGCTTCCCGAGCGTGTGGACTGAGTCTGCCAGGCGCCCACATGGTCTCTCTCCTACCGACCATCCTGACGCTCTTAGTTCAGCGCCTGGGGGGCTCCCATCGTCTCTGCACCCGCCCCCCTCCTGTCCCGACCACCCCATCACAGGAACAAAGAAGCCGGTCTCCCTGAGCCCAGGTGCCCGCCCAGTCGGCAGTCGCTCCCACGTCCAGGTGGGGCCAGGCGGTGGCCATGCCGGGGCCCGAAGGCCTGTCTGATTCTGAGGCCTGTGTCGAACACGCAGGTTGTCAGTGACCCCACTGAAACTGTCCCCCGTACCCACCCCTGAAGTCCCTGCACGTGTCCCCGGCTCCTCCTGCCTTGCCTTCCTCAGGCCCATCCGAAAGGCCGGCACACCCAGGTGCCTTCCTGGGGCCCAGGAGGCAAGGGCTGGGGAAGCCACCAGGTCCTGGGTTCGAGTCCCAGCTGGCTCCAGGACGGGAATTGGTGCCGCTTCCCTGCTCCCTGTCCTGCAGGACCTCACACGCCTTGGCCTTGGCCCTTCACTATCCCCACCCCCGACCCCAGAAGTGGGGGGCTCCTCGGGGCACCCTGAGAGCAGCCTCCTCCTCTCCCCGGTCCCACGCCCCCATGAAATGCCGCCCCCCCATGCCTTGTCCATTCAGAAATGAGCGGTGGCTCAGCTGAACTGTCTGCTCAAACTGTCCATTTCACCTGCCTGGTCAAGTGCACCCCCACCACAGGTATGAGCGACCACTCAGTACCCACCCAAACACGAGAAGGAGGGCAGACTGGGGAGAGCGCTGTGCCGCCCTGGTCCCCCACCGGGCCGCATGCTTGCCGGTGAGACCCACGTCCACAGCCCCCTTGCTCACAGTGCCCCCAGGAACGACCGCCCCTGCAGGGGCGGTGACACCCCCAACGCCACTCTGCAGCTGGCCCCGTGGGAGGGGAGGCCCCGGCCCTCAGCGCCCTCTGGTGAGGATGAGGGGTGACAGAGGAGCCCCGTCAGCCAGCCCTGTGGAGAGGCTGGGTGTGGCTCCCTGAGGCCCCTGGTGACAGGGAGGACACTATGTTCATACTGGCTTGGTTTCCCTGAAGGGGCACCGGGCGGGACACCTCACCCAAGACCACTGGGCCCAGGGGCCCAGCTGCCCCGGGTCCCCACAGCCTGCCAAGGGCTGCCTGCCAAGCACGGCCTGGCCGGGGAAACGCACAGGGCCCGTTTGCTCCTTGCTCACCACGGTCTTTTCCACGTGGTTCTGCTGCTGGGCAGTGGAATCCCCTCGAAGAACCTCCTGGACAGTATCCCGAGGGCACCCAGGCCCCTGCAGACTCCACTGCGTGGCCGGACCAGAAAGGGGTCCCTCGGGGGTCTCCATGCAGGAAGTCCAGCAGAACTGATGCTGGGAGTGGGGCGCCATGGGCCTGCCCTGGGGAGCAGGACCCCAAGGACCAATGGACTCTCCCTCCACGCAAAGGGTCCCTGAATATCTCCATGCCCCCACGGCACCTGGAAGCGAGGCACAGACCCCTGCACCCCCTGCACCGGGCCTGCTGCACCCCAAGCAGCTTGAGGGCCAAGGGGCAGCGGGGACTCTCAGCCTTTTGGTTCTAATTCGTGCTCTTCCTCCTGGTGATGTTCCCCCACCAGAGCAGCTCAGCGGCTTCCCTCTTACACAGAAAATGTCTGGGTTAGTGCTCTGCAAACCGGGCCAGAGGGAACAGCAGCGGGAAAGGTGGGGGAGAGGGGGACATCGATGCCAGCCAGGGAGGGGGCCCCTGCCCTTGGGGGAGAAGCCCCCCAACCCAGAGAGAAAGAAGGAAGACCCCTCCCCAACCCTAAGGAATGCACACACACACACACACACACACACACACACACACACACGAATGACTGCCTGCCTGCCAAGGAGGAAGGAAGCCCCCCACCCACCCCCCAGGCCCCAGGGGCCCGCCTGGGCAGTGCAGAGGGGCCCGAGGAAGGAAACAAGTTGGGGTGTCTTACACTCAGCCCTCGCTGGAGGCCGAGGCGGGCTGCCGGGTCTCTGTGTGGTGCTGGAAGGCAGACCCGGCGCGGGCTTCCACATGTGGGGCACTAACAGGCTCTGATGGCTTGGACGGAACCGGAAATATTTCTCCGAAGCCAAAAGAATGTAATCTTTTCGGTACAGTGTAAAATGCTTTTAGGAAAAAAAGGCTCACGGTTGACATGATAATTCACTGCAGGCTGTAAAGAAATGGAAATCCCCAAACAAACCCCAACTTTAAGAATTCATTGTAAGCATATGTCGGCTGCGGTCACCCAAGGAACAAAAGCATTCTTCTAGGGAAAATATGTCCATCATTCCAGATCTTTGTAGCGAAGTTTGAGCTCCCAGGGTTGTTTGAAAGGCATGCCACCCCCTCAAAGCCAGGCCTGAACCCCCCGCCCCAAGGACCAGCCAGCCACTGCTGGGGAAGCGAATGGGGCCTGATGCTTTCAGGGCTTTCCAAGAATCCAGCGGTCTTCCCTATGTAAACAGCAACGCCAGTCAATAAGACTCTCATAGGAGTCAATGCCCTGCACTGAACCATTGATGAAGTACCACTTGTAGAATATTCTCCCCAACGACCGCTGCCCCTCAAAGATCAGGGAACTCTCTCGTTGTAGCAATGCTCAATTTTTCTCACAGACAAAACATGATAACAGGGCCCTTGAAATTTCTCTCTGCCCACTCTCAGAACTTCACCAGAAAGCTCTACCCACCAGTAACTGCGCGACAATGTGTCCCTGGAAAAGCTGGCTGGAATCACGTGATTTTTTTAGTCATGGGGACTGTCATCCTAAAATTGCAAAAAGAATGATTCTTTTGCTCATGAGGACGTGTGAAAAAAATTAAGGGTGCAAAATTATAAAACAGCATTTGGCTTTTGTTTTTAAAATGGTGAGGAGTAACTATTGCTTGTGCAAAACGTTTTTTTTTTTTTGGCTTTTATTTTTACAGAAGCAGTGTGTTTTTCCCTTCGGAATTTGATTTTCTTCTAAGAGGAACTTCTTGTAAGAAGGACCCTCGTTACAGAAGAAACCCGCCACGTGCCTGACTTGGGGCTCAGCAGGGAGAAGAGACTGGTCGCACTGGCGACAGGTGCGGGAAGTCACGAAGGATGTCTGAGCCCAGAAATTCCGCACAGCCAGGGCACAGGGTGGGGCGTGCGGGGAGGAGACTCCCAAATGCCACCTCAGGGCTCAGCGATTGATTCATCAGGACCCCCAGTCTCCAGACAGGCCCACGTTTCACTGCGCCATCAGACCCCCAGAACCTTGTGCCCATGGGCTTCAGGAGAACGGAGTGCTCATGGATGCGAACTTCACCCTGAGCCCCCAGAGCATTCAGCACGGGAGGCCGGAAAGCTGAGCACCTCTCTTAACTTAAAGCAGGGCTGCATTTATTTCTTGTGACGGAGCTGGTGTGTGCAGTGGGAAATACTCCAGCACCCACCACTGCCGGATGCAGTGCCTGGCTCCCACCCAGTGCCGTGGAATCCAAGGTCTTGGGTGCCTTTTCCTGTGGCTTTCCCCACCTTAGGCCAGTGTTCCCGCGAGGGTGCCCTGAGGAACAGGAGCCCCACAAGCCATGCAGGGGAGGGGACTCTGGGGCTCGGAGCTTGCTGCTTTGGAGGTGCGTCGCTCAGAGTCTGTCGGCAGTCAGAATGTTCAGAAACTCTTCAGCAGCAAGATTTGCTTAGCCCAAACTTACTTAACTGGGGACCCCTTGCTCCCAGACTCTGACTGGCAAAGGACAACACACACTTAGAGAAGAGGGCTCTGAAATCCTGCTGGGGCGGGAGGACCCCCGTGGCCAAACTGACAGCAGACCCAGGGGGGCCCAGACAGACGGGGGCTGGGTACCCACCACACGGACAGGCAGAGAACAGAAGGTGAAGCAAAGACACGCCGGGCTATTTTCGTTGGTTTTTGAAGAGCATCTGATTGCCAAAACGTTCTTAGGGAAGAATTAAGAAAAAAAAAAACTTAGAAGGCAGAATATGTTCCAATGTCTCGAGCAGATGAACACAGCCACTGGGGAGCAGGCACCCGGGGTCTGCAGGGGGGAAGTCGGTGCCGCGGACCACGGGCAGCCTGTGGCTCCCACATCACACACTTCCTATCGGCCAATTTGCGGCTTGTCGTTGCCCTGGCGGGGACCGAACCCCTGGTCCCAAATCTGAGGCGGCGAAACGTGCAGAGGACTCTTGGTGCCGTGACACAAAAGTGTGTGTAGTTCTAACTGCTTCTGACAGGAAGGTCCCCCCTCCGGAGCTTCTGTGAGTCTTCCTGTCGGCGAGTGACACAAAGACGAAACCACCTTTCCCCCAGAATCATGCAAAAGGGTTTGAGGTGGGGCTGAAACACGCTGTTCCTCGTGCGTGCAAAGAGGTGCCACCCTTGGGGACAAGTGGGGCAGACAGGAGGAAACGTCTGCTTCCTTGATGGACCGTGACAGAAGAGGGGGCACCTACTGACAAAAGGTAGGAAGGGCAGGCCTTCTCGCCCCTGAACTTGAGCCGCTCCATCCCACATGGCCATCCTTACGGGGCCCTATCAGTCAGACCTTCAGCAGGACAGAAGAGGGCTCTGGTGCATGCTCAGGAACTGGGAGAGCCTGACTGTGCGTCCTGAATTTAACTGACCAAGCGCTCGCAAAACACCGAGCCCGGGCGTCGGCAACACCGGCACGCAGGCAGGCCCAGCACACGTTACCTGGCCGCCCAAGTAATGAGGGGGTTGAAAGCAGACTAGTCCCCAGGCTCCACGCCCAGTTCTGGACTATCTCTGCACGTGTATGAAAAAAAAAAAAAAAACGGCCATGAAATGGTCGGCACAAACACTGGAATTACCCCACGCAGAAGACACAGATATTAAATATGTTCACGAAGTTTAAACAGGGAATTTAAAGGGCCAAGATTTTTCCAGCTGCCCACCGAGATTCTAGGGGAAAGAAAGCAGATCTTCTGGTAACGAACGTCTTAAACAAGCAGTGAACTGAAACATAGATGTAAAGAGGTTACCCGGCATGCAGTGCAGAAAACATTCAAGGCAGGTTAAGAGGCCTGGACAGCAGAATGATGAGGGCCAGTGACAACGTAACTGAAGTTCCAGAAGGAGAGAAAAATGATTAAAAAGAAGCCAAGATTTGAAGACATAAAAACTGAATTTTTTTTTCAGAATTAATGAAAGACATCTACCCTCAGATTCTGGAATCCCCATCAACCCTGAAGCAGGAGAAAGAAAAAGAAAAAAAATCTCACTTAAACTCACTGTGGTCATCAGACCACAAAACAACAAGCAGAAAAAGGTGGCCGTAAAAGTAGCCGGAAGGGACACCCGGACCCTCCTGGCCAGGCACACCGCCAGCCACCTTCCCGCCAGCAACCACGGCCGCATTTAAGGCAAAAAGGAAAATGCCCTCACTGTCCAGCTTGCGGAAGTGACTTCCAAGAATGGCAGTGAAAACAGGAAAATGTCCAGAACCTACAAAAGCTGGCTGCCAGCAGCATGCGCTCTATTTCTAACGGGTGCCTTTCAGGAGAAAAGAAAAGGACCTCGAGAAAAAGTCAGACTGGAAGGAAAGGCCACAGAGAAGCTGGGACCCGTGGACAAAGCGCGAGCCAGTGCAGACCACTGAAGCAAAGACAGCTCACGTGACGGGGACTAAAGTGTCACGACAGACTGAGGGGCTGGGTAATGACAGGACGTAAACTGCAGGGGGGTCGTTAAGAGTGAGAGCAGCTAAGGTCCTGATAGGACTCCAAAAAAAGTGCAGAACTGATGAATGGCTGGAGTCACTGGAGTTACTATGCATATTACAACTTCTAAGTGCACCCCTGAAAGGACAGAAACACGGATATTAAATTTCAAAACAGGAGAGAGAGAAAACGGAATTCGGGCAAGAATGGGGGGAGTCTCGATTTAAAAGACGGCAAGAAATGAAAACAAGATGATGTGCTTTGAATTAAATGCATATTTCATTGTGGTTCATTTAAATTCACTTTGTTTCAGTATTTAATGGTTGTGATTAAAAACAGACATTCATCAACACATAACTAGACTAGGTATTTGGCAGGACAGATTTTTGTCTTATTAGTGTTTTCGCCCCTCAGTTTTTTTAAAAAAGATTTTAATAATGCTTATTCAATATTCATGGGTTGTGGAAAAATACCAGGCAATTTTTCCTCTACATAACTTATTTCTTTCCAAGATGCTCTGATAGCCCCAACGTGGGCGGCACGTTTGCCTTACGGAAGCCGCTTACTGGGAAACGTGAAGGTCAAGGTGGACAATTCAGGGGCGTTGGACCCTCCTGCACACCCACAGTGCACGACGGGCAGCACCTGGCACACCAGGCCAGTGTGAGGGGGAGGCTGATGCAAAGGTGAGGTCCCCACAGCATGGGGGACCGGGAGCCCCCAGAACACACAGGGACTGGAGCCCCAGGGCCTTCCCTCCTGAGCCCAGGGCTGGGCCCCGGCTGCGAGGCTCTGAAGGAGCAGAGGCACCACCAGAGGGAGTCCGGGCCTGGCCAGGCTGCAGGCCCGGGGGCAGGGGGCGGAAAGATGTGCCTGAGTTTGAGCACAGAGCTGCCTCTGGAGTCACACACGCTGTGTGTCTCACCCCACCAGGCCCACTGGCCACTGCCTTGGAACCGAAACCCCACGACAGAGGGGTGCACTGCAAACCACCGCAGAATAAGCGTCATCCGAAGGCCCCAGGCCATCCACGGCTACGGACAGTCACCGGGCTGCAGCTGCCACCCCCCACCAGGAACCCTGACCTTAAGGTCTCGTGACACCAGGGAGGAGGGGCATCTGGCCAACCCGCGTGATGGGACTTTGCCCTGAAATTTGTTTCTAAGCTGTACAACACAGCAGAAAACACAGCCATTTTTCTAGAACCCTCTGTTTGGAATTTCCCTGGGCTGAGCTACAAATAGGAACGTCATCAGAGGAACAGGTAGCTCGGTGCTGGCAGTCACCAGACTAGGGCTTCAAAGGTCAGAAAGACAACGCCTCAGTGCCCACTGCCCTCCCACCCCTGGCCGGAGCCCTGACCGCCCGGTCATTTACTCGGTCCCCCGCCCCCGAGGAGGTCCAGAGCCAGCCAGGCCTGGCCTGCCTCAGGCGGCAGAGATCCCTGCCTGACACGACACAGGTGTGACCCAGCCCCTGGGGTCTGCATGCCGGGGAGAACCGGGCCGGTCCATGGCGTGGGCGCCATTACATGGCAAGGAAGCACCACCCGCAGAACGGGGGCACACAATTGCCCGGGCCACCAGGAGGACCCACTCAGGGTCCAGCCCTCCCAGAAGAGTGGGGTCCCTAGAAAGACATTCTGGGGGACACGTGGACCAGGGGCACCCCAGGGGTGGCAGGCAGCTCCCATCACCGCACATCCTGATGCACCTGACCTGTAGAAGGGTCCTCCCAGTGATCCGTCCTGGAGCCAGGGACCCCCATGAGGGGGCCACAGTCTGGGTTAGAAGTAGCCGACAAGAGTTCACAGCCACGTGGACTCTCCGGACGGCCTTGACCTTCCCCTTCCCTCTGGACGAAGGAGTGGAGACTCTCCGAAGGCCACAGAGCACTCGGGGACAGGGACAAGAGCCCCAATGCCAGCCTAGCCCATTGCCCCAGGGAGGCCCTGGCCCCCAGGAACGGAGGCCCCCACACCTGCCAAGCCCACGTTCCTCTGTGGGGGGCACACCCACACAGCTTGGAGTAGAGAAAACCCCAAATGGCTGACGAATATTTGACGTCTTTGAAGTTTCATGTCCACACGGTGTCTTCTCTGAGGAACTGGCTCATGCATGACTTCCCTGCTGAGCCTCCAGTTTTGGGGGGCTGGAGGGGAGGGCCGCACTTGGAACCTCCCCCCATGCCAGGTCCCTTGCTATGGGGAATCAGACCACGCCCCCCATTTGAATCCCAGGGCTGCCCCCCACCAGCAAAGCAACCTTAGGCATGTTACCTCACCTCTGAGCCTCAGCCTCAGTAAAATGGGGGTAACGGCGGTCCAATCCCCGCACTTACTATCCATGACGGGGTCAGCAAAGGGGGCGCAGGCCCAGGCCTCAGCATGACACCTGGCACGCAGTCAGTGCTTCTCAGGGCTAAGTTCCCAAAAAGGGTTTCCAGTCTCCCCAAACCACAAGGGGAATAAAGGGTTTCCAGTCTCCCCAAACCACAAGGGGGATGCTGCCCTCCTCACTGACACTGCCACACCCAGCTCAGCCTCCTCCCCCTCCTTGTCCCATTTGGAAGGAGTGGCGGCACCTACCCAGCTTCTCCGCCTGACAGGCGGACCCCTGCCCCTCCTTCCAGGCTGGCCCAGGTCTGCCCCTGCCCGCCTCCCTCAGCACCCGGCCTGCCTACGGCTTCTTTTCTTTCTGGTCTCCCCTCCTTCACGCCCCGTCTCAAACCGGGGTGTCAGAACCCCCTCTCTGGGCCCTCAGCTCCTGGCCTCCCATCGCCCAGGGACCCACTGCACGGCTCTCTCTCCACCCAGCTGCAGGGGTCCCCACCCGAGGGCAGGGCAGGGCAGACGCTGGCTTTTCTTGTTACCCCCTCCACTCCGGAGTTTAGAGTCGGCTCCTTCAGTGGTGCCACCTCTGTCCCTGTCCCCCTGCCCCAAGCTCCAAGCCATCCTGGAGTCTCCTCCTTGCTTAGAACTTTCCTGTCCCCAGTGCCAACTGCCCAACCCCGGACTTTCCTGAATCGGAACTCTGAACCGGCTTCCCAGCAGAGGTTATAAAACAGGCAGTTCTCACAAATGAACTGAAATTCTGTGAGTAAACAGAAGGGGTCAGGGCCAAACAACTGGCCTTCTCCATGTCTACTCTGAATCTCAAGCCAGGCCAGAAGGCAGCTCTGATGAACACACGTTTGCATCTAACCCTCACGAGGCAGCTTAAGTCCCTGTTTTACAGATGAGGGGAGTTCAAGGTGAAGGATGAGGGGAGTA